AAAGTGCCTTTCCCAGGGACACAACGTCGGGCCCGCGGCTCGAACCCCTGAGTCCGGGAGCCTAATCAGTCAATCATTTTTCGCCGTCAGTTGTTGGCTTCTATGAAAGCAACCATGGATCATGTTTTACCCATCCAGTGCTGTCTCACATGTCCAAGTTTGAAACTTCAAGATGTTACTTCCGAGTCATTGACATTTCTTCGTTTTGTGCCCTCTTTTCCTTTTCCTTTCACTTGTCGTGAATAAAACAAAATTATGAGCTTTTAGTTTGTCTTAACATTGCTTGTATTGTCGACGATGGCTTTACTGTGCAACTCAGAAATGTCTTGATCGTGACTAGCCACTTTTCTTCCAAAATAGCCTTAGATTATGGACCAATCATTTCAAATTAATCATTTCTAAAGGTGAACTGTTCATGTCTTTGGATGTCGTTAATCATGCATATTATTGCTCGTGAACGTATTTGATGAGTAGTAAAATCCTAATAGTTGCATGATCAGATCTGAAGATGCTTTATGTCATAAAATAAATATTATTGTTCTCGGTCTTATTTCTTGAGTAATAACCCGATTGTTATCTCAAAGCCAACATTTGTTTTAGTTCTAAACGAGGAAAGGAGACGTGGGCGAAACGCAGAGGTTGATGTATTCCCTAATTGAGGTACACGAATTAAGCATTAAAGTGACATTTGCTGTGAACTAGTTTAGAGCCAATTACAAACATACGTTTCTCGTTTGTCTTCGGCTTTGAACTTTGGTTTAATGACGTAATTTGATGATATTTTTTTGTTTACTCTGTACAAGTCTTCGCGCTAACAAATTATCCTTTAAAAAAAGGTTTTGAGACGTTTAGCAGGAAGCAAAAAAGATGGAGAGTAGGCAAAAAGAGATACAAGAGAAAAACCGGAACAGTGAAATGCGTATTGAAACAAAAATGAATGCAAAAGAAAAGAGGAAAGTAAAGAGAGAAAGGGATAGAGAGAGAGAAAAAGTGTGTGTGTGAGAGAGAGAGAGAGAGAGAGCAAGAGAAAGAGAGAAGGAGAAAGAGGGAGGGAGGGAGGGAGGGAGGAAGA